TTTATTTTTATTAGTTGGAGGCTAATTACTTTACAGGTTTCAAGTTTAAAACGTAGTGATCCACAATTTCTAAAGATTAGGCTCCATTTATGTTATTATAAAATATTAGCTGTGTTCCCTGTATTGCACAGTATATCTGTTTTATACACAGTAGTTTATATCTCTTAATCCCCTACCCCTATCTTGCCACTAACCCTTTCACCCTTCTCACTGGTAAGCACTAGTTTGTTCTCTGTATCCACAGGTCCTGCTTCTTTTTTGTTAAATTCACTTGTATATTTCATTTTTAGATTCCATGTATAAATGATAATATACAGTGTTTGTCTTTCTCTGATAAATTTCACTAAGAGGTGACATCCACAGCGGTGCTAAGGGTTGAGGGTTTAGGGGTTTAGGGGAGAGAGGGGCATGGCAAAATAAGATAAAATTCACCACTGTCACCATTTTTAAGAATACAGATCTGTGGCATTAAGTGCCTTCGCGTTGTGCAACCATGAATGCCATCCATCTCCAGGACAGTGCTCATCTTCCCGAACTGAGACTCTGTGCCTGTTAAACACGCAGTCCCTATGTCTCCCTCTCGCAGCCCCTGGGACCACCATTCTGCTTTCTGTCTCTGAGTTTGACTATGCTAAGTGTCTAAGTGGAATCATGCAGTGTTTGTCTTTTGTGACTGGCATATCTCACTTAGCATAATGCCTTCAAGTCTCATCCATGTTGTGTAATGTGTAGAATTTCCTTCCTTTCCAGTTCCTTTTTTTTTTTTTTTTGGTGCACAGCTTGTGGGATCTTAGTTCCCTAACCCGGGATCGAAGGCCCTCCACTATGAAAGCACAGAGCCCTAACCACTAGGCAACCAGGGAATTGCCCCTTCCCTTCCCTTTTTTTGGGGGGGGCTTCCCAAGTGGCTCAGTGGTAAAGAACCTGCCTGCCAATGCATGATCTCCTGAAGGAGATGCGAGTTCGATCCCTGGGTCAGGAAGATCCCCTGGAGAAGGAAATGGCAACCCACTCCAGTATTCTTGCCTGGGAAATCCCATGGACAGAGGAGACTGGTGGGTTGCAGTCCATGGGGTTGCAAAAGAGTCGTACAGGACTGAGTGACAAACACTTTCACTTTTCCCTTTAAAAAAAATTTAAAATAATTTTTATTTATTTATTTTGGTCACACTGCACGGCATGCCAGATTTTAGTTCCCCAGCCGGGGATTGAACCCACGCCTCCTGCAGCGGAAGCAAGGAGTCCTAACCACTGCTGGGGAGTTCCCCCTTCCCTTCCTTTTTGAAGTTGAATAATATTCCACTGTATGTGTAGACTATATTTTGCTTATCCACTCATCCACTGATGGACACTGGGTTGTTTTCACCTTTGGGCTGTCATGAATAGTGCTGCTGCCATCATGGATGTACATTCACAATGTTGTACAACCTTCCCTTCTGTCTAATTCCAGACCAATTTCATCATCCCCTAAAGGGAATTCTGTGCCATGAGACAGTCACTCCCTCTCCCTCCTTCCCCAGCCCCTGGCAACCACTGATCTGCTTTCTGTCTCTCTGAAGTTGCTTCACGTGGGATCATGCATGGGATCACGCATATGTGACTCTCTGTGTCTGGCTGCCTTCACTCAGCATCATGTTTCAAGTTTCATCCGTGTTGTAGCTTCTGACAGTGACTCGAGGACCTTACAGTGGTTATGCTGCAGACTGCTCAGAGTGGCTCTAGTGAGCAGATTTGATGGTTAGAAATTCAGGAAATCTCAGAGCCTGTTGTTTAACCATTGAGAGCTTAAAGCTGGTCTTGGTGGGAGTATTTACCCCACGGATATTGGCAAATGCTACACATCAGTATGGTCTTGGGGGGTTTATTTGAGACTCGGTTTGTAGGCACTGGCTTTGGAACTTCCCCATAATCTCCATCAGCACCACCCCTGTGCAAAGCTGCTGCTGTTTACTTGCTAAGTCGTATCTGACTCTGTGACCCACTAGACTGTGGCCTGCTGGGCTCCCATGGGATTTCCCAGGCAGGAATACTGGAGTGAGTTGCCCTCTCCTTCTCCAGGGGATCTTCCCCACCCAGAGATCAAATCCGCATCTCCTGCATTGGTAGGCGGATTCTTTACCACTGACATTCAGGCTGACGCCTCTGTTCTTTCAAGCTGTATTGACAGATGGAGCTTGGAAAAGAAACCTGGTGGCTTCAACTGAATTACAATCAAATGTTGGCAATTTCATATAGTTCAACCTTCTAGTAGGGTCTAGTCGTTAAGCTGGACAAGAAGCAAAGATAGTTCTCTCATTGTTATCTATTTATTTTTATCTGCTTTAAATATTTCAAAATAAAAGATGTTGTGGGGGAGGAATGGAGTAGATTGGGAGGAATGGAAGGGTTTGACTGGTATCCTGTCTTTGGCCAGAAACACACGGTTTTGACCAGACAGACCTAAGGGTGACCCGTGGCTCCATGCCTTTTTAGCTCTGCGACCATGGTTAAACCCCCTCACTTCTGGGGCCTCCGTTTTCTTGTCTGTACAATGGTTATAAAAATACCAACCTCATAGAGCTGATGTGCTTCCCTGCTGGTTCAGGGGTAAAGGATCTACGCGCCAAGCAGAGACATGGGTGTGAACGCTGGGTCGGGAAGATCCCCTGGAGAAGGAAATGGCTATCCATTCCAGTATTCTTGCCTGGAGAATCCCATGGACAGAGGAGCCTGGTGGACTAATAGTCCATAGGGCTGCAAAGAGACAGACTGAGCAACTAAACAGATAACAGGACTGTTGTGCAGAACGAGTGCTCGGAGAGCAACACTTAAAACGAGGCAAGGACGCCGCTGGACAGTGGGGGGCGTGGTGGGGAGGGGGCGTGGTGAAGGGGCGTGGTGGGGAGGGGGCGTGGTGAAGGGGTTTGGTGGAGAGGGGCGCGGTGAAGGGGCGTGGTGGAGCTGGCGGCAGGTGGTGGAGTGAGTGAGTGCTCCAAGGTTCAGTCCCAGCCGCTCTGCCTGTAGACCCTGTGCGCTGTACTCTGCCCCGGATTTCCAGACGAACTTGATAGCTGGAGCTTTCCCAGTTTAGCCTCGCCATCGAATGGTGTTTCGGGTATTTACAAAATTGCGGTGGTATCATCTGCCTTTTCTCCCAGTTCACCAGCAGGGATTGTTCCCCCAGGCTTCTGGAATCTGGAGACAAGCTTTCTTTTTTTTTTTATTTATTTATTTTTTTTTTTCATTTATTTTTATTAGTTGGAGGCTAATTACTTTACATCATTGCAGTGGTTTTTGTCATACATTGAAATGAATTAGCCATGGATTTACATGTATTCCCCATCCCGGTCCCCCCTCCCACCTCCCTCTCCACCCGATCCCTCTGGGTCTTCCCAGTGCACCAGGCCCGAGCACTTGTCTCATGCACCCAACCTGGGCTGGTGATCTGTTTCACCCTAGATAATATACGTGTTTCGATGCTGTTCTCTTGAAACATCCCACCCTTGCCTTCTCCCAGAGTCCACAAGTCTGTTCTATACATCGGAGTCTCTTTTTCTGTTTTGCATATTGGAGACAAGCTTTCTATGCCAGAGCACTAATTATTCTTGGTGAACTGTGCAGAATAAGGCAATAGTTAATTGATGATGATGATAGCAATATTTTTTTTACATAGAAATTTAATTTTTACCTTTTAAAAATGTTGCCCAAAGATGCCCTCCAGTGCCTCATCAGCAGGCTTCCTTGATGGCTCAGTGGTAAAGAATCCGCCAGCCTATACAGGAGATGCAGGAGACGCAGGTTCAACCCGTGGGTCTGGAAGACCCTCTGGAGGAGGAAGTGGCAACCCACTCCAGTATTCTTGCCTGGGATCCCATTGACAGGAGAGCCTGGTGGGTTGCCATTCATGGGGTGTCAAAGAGTCAGAGACAGTGGAGTGACTGAGCCCGCGTGCACGTCCTCATCAGCCCTCTGCCCTTCATGCCCTGGGCATCCCAGACTTCTTTTTTCAAATCCTCATTCCATATGGCTCTCTCCTGGAAAGGTAGGGACTCATCTCTCTTGTTACCGCCATGACCTTGCAACCCATCGCAGGGCTGGCAGAAAGCAGGAGTTTTGTTTCGGGATGAGGAAGCTGGAAGGAGACAGGTTATTATATTTTTGCCTGGGTCTCAGATGAATAAGTTGCTGCTCAAAGAAGTCAAGGCATTTTCCAGAGTCATGAGAAACAGCACAGTGTGAAGGAATGTATTGTATTGAGGGTGAAGTCCATGGAGTCTCAAACCGAAATGCCTTTGGGGGCAAAGGGAACAAGTGCCAAGTGAGAGGAACACAGAGTGAAGTGTGAAGAAAAATGGCAAGAGACTGTCAGGGCTGGAGGTCATTTGGAGAGAATGAGACTGTTGGTCACCTGTGGATCGAGTGGCCCGTATACAAGGGACACACTTCTCTGGTCTAGCCATGTTGGTCCTTTATTAGAATGTGGGTCCCAGATGGCCAGATATTCTATTTTTTTAAAGAGACATCAGGAATCTGGATTTCTTTGTGAATTCTTCTAATTTTAAAACTTTGATATTCACTTTAAATGAAAAAAAATTACTGTGTGGGCAGCTTTTTGTGAGCATAAAGCAATCCTTACGTGACCAAATTGTTACTTCCATTAGATACAGACAAATGAGTATAAATTCTGAAACACATACGCTTCCAAACAGTATTTAGGTCTAGAACAAAGATATCCTCATTCACATAGCTTACTATGTGAATAGGACTCCCCCTGGAGTTGTGCAGTGCCCAACCTGTCCAACTGTACTAGACAGCCCTGATACATAACTCTTAAAGTTGTCACCATCCCCACAGTCCAGCTCAATAGAAATGCCAGCCCCTACCTCTCTCACCCATTCATGGACCATGAGAGAACTCTCTGGACCACAAGAGAAAGCTTTTCACCTCTCTTGGGCACAACTATACTGTGAGATCCTCGAGAAGGAGTTCTCGCCATCATGACCGGATTTACTCTCCTCCAGGGTGGTGAAATTCCGTCGCACAGGGGAGAGTGCAAGGTCCGAGGACGACGCGGCTTCGGGAGAGCATGAGGTCCAGATTGAAGGAGTCCGTGCAGGCCTAGAGGCTGTGGAGCTGGACGATGGGGCGGCCGTGCCCAAGGAGTTTGCCAATCCCACCGACGGTGAGGGGACCCTGCAGTTGGGGCAGGCCATAGTCAGGGGCTCTGAGGCTCCAGGGTTTCCTCTCCAGGTTGTACTCAGAGGGATCTTGTGAAGGGGCAGGTAGGAGGGCCTGGAGGACCCAGGGGTGGCGCTGGAAGTGTGGGCTGAACCTGCATGGCTTTCTTCAGCAGGCAAGGTTGCATCACCATCCCTGACAGTCAACATCATCAACTAACACTTGGCCGAGGATGGCAGCCACGATGATGAGGGTGAGGGTGGTGATGACGATGAGGTGGTGTTGGTGGTGATGGTGATGGCGCTGATAGTGGTGATGGTGACTGTAAAGATGACAACAGTGATTAGAGCCACAGACACAGGCTGAGGGTTTACTCTGTGCCAGGCACTGTTCTAAGCACTTTTCATATATTACCCATTTCATCTTCACAACAGTTCCAATTGGAACTATTATAGTCATCTTCCCCATTTTGCAGGAGAGGACACAGAGGCACAGAAAGGTTAAGTATCTTGCCCAGGGTCACACAGTTAGGACTTAGCCAAGTTGGATTTACACCCAGGAAATCTGGCCTCAGAGACCACATCCCTACCTCTGACCTTGTGCTCCCTCCGAGCAGAGATGGTTAAAGGAGACTTGAACTGCTCATAGGGGACCTGGTCTCCCCTTACCACCTGATAATGCTGATGCATGAAAACATTCCATTCATTCCTCAAAGGGCCCAGATTCCCAACCAGAGAGGGGATTAACAGCTTGAGCCCAAGGCCTGTTGTTGGCAGATCTAAGGAGGCAATGACTGGGGCGGGAGTGAAGGCGGAGGTTAGAAGCAGTGGCTTCAGGTTCAGGCTGATCTGGGCTAAATTCCCAGATCTGCGTTGTGTCAGCTGTATTGACACTGGGCAAGTCCATGTCCTCCTCTGAAAAATGGGGCTAAGACTGAGCCTTAGGTGTCACAGGGACTTAGTGAGATTATGTACAGCAAGCTTAAAGCATGGGTCCCCACCCCCTGGTTCCAGCCCGTGGCCTGTTAGGAACCAGAAGGCAAAGCTAGGAGTGGTGGGTGAGCAAGCTTCATCTGTCTTTCCAGCGGTTCCCCATCGCTCCCATTGCTACCTGAGCTCCGCCTCCTGTCAGATCAGCGGCGGCAGCATTAGATTCTCAAGGGAGCAAGAATCCTAGCCATAAAGTCAAGGCGGAATACTCTGAGGTCGCTATAAAACAGAGATAAAGTGCACAATAGATGTAATGTGCTTGAATGATCCCCAAAATTTTTCCTGTCTATGGAAAAATTGTCTTCCATGAAACAGGTCACTGTTGCCAAAAAGGATGGAGACCACTGTCTTAGGGCAGTGCCTGACACACGCTGAGCTCCTAGTAAATATGTAATTATATTACTGCTATTACTGTTCTTATTATTGATGACGTTACAGGAGTCACTCTGCTTTCTCCTCAGTATTTTTACTGAAGGAAACCAGACCCTGCTGGTGTGATAACCCCCAGCTCATACCTCAGGAGAAAATGATGGTTGATGTAAGAGGCTCAAGGTTGAAATTCCAATAAGATGACAACTCCCAGCAGGGGCAGATAAGATCCTCAGAGGCACCCCCACAGGACGGCCACCCAGCATGCTCCTTTAGTCTTTTTTATTTTTCAGTTAATTTTTATTTTTTGTCTTGGAATATTTTAAAAGTACAGAAAAGTTGCAAAGAGAGCACAAAGAGTGCTCGTATACTCTTTTTTTCTTTTTTAAAATCTTTTTTCTTTGTTCATTATTATTTTTTTTTTTTGTATACTCTTCATGCAGCTTCCCATACAGTTAGTATCTTACCTAATCATGACACATGTGTCAAAGCTAAGATATTGACACTGGTGCAATACCCTCCATGAAACTCCAGACTTTATTCAGATTTCACCAGTTTTCCCAGCAGTGCTATTACAGGAGTAAATTCCAGCACACCACATTGTATTTAGTCTTTTAGTCTTTCTCAAAGCCACTGATGAGCTTCTAAATTATATCTTTATTTTTTTCTGAGCACACAAATACCATGTGTTTATTTGGAAAGCACTGGGACATGATCAAAATGTACCAAAAAAATGAGTACTAACATATGACCCTGTTGACAGTCTATGGGCATTCAATCTTACTTCCCCTGGTCCATCTTACTTTGTTTTCTAAAAATTAATTCATAATACATTGTATGCATCTTTCTAAATCTGCACATTTTTTAACAGGTGGGTTGTATTTTAGGATGTAGATATAAAAACATTCATATATAATACATAAATTAATCTAACCAGTTCCTTGTTGATAGACATTCTGGGTTGTCCACTTATTCCCTTTGTAGAAATCACGTTGTACTGGACTTTGCAGCTCACTTCACACTTGCCGGACAGTTTTCCTAGGATAACTTCTAGAAGCAGCATGCACTGCTTTAAAGAGTTTGGCCAGGGATCCTCCTCGGTTTCCCCCCCACCCCCCGCCCCAGAACTAGGACAAATACAAAATGCTCTGACTCCTTCCTTCCCCTCCCCCTTCTCCTTCCCAGATACTTTCATGGTGGAAGATGCGGTGGAAGCCATTGGTTTTGGAAAATTTCAGTGGAAGCTGTCTGTTCTCACCGGCTTGGCTTGGGCAAGTATTTCTGGGGACAACGACGTCATCTTCAGTCTCCGAGGAACGCCATGCTGCTCAGCTGGGTTCCCGGGCTCCCTGCTCTTAGCATCTCTGGTTGAACCGACAAAGTCTGAGTGATAATGGGTGGTAATGAAGCCTGAGCCTGGGGGGCGTTGGGTGCGGTTGACAGTTGCCCTCAAGGAAGGAGGAGTTGAAGCTTCCGGTTAACTAAGTGGTTCTCAACCCTTTGAGGCTCAGGGCTACTCTAAGATTCTGATGTCATCTGTGGGACTCACCCTAGAAGAACATGCACAGATCAAAAGGTGCCTTCTCTTTCAAGGGGCTTGTGATTCTTTATTAAACTTGCCAGATCTACCTATAGCAAACGATGTATCTAGATCATTGTTGTTCGGTCACTAAGTCACGTCTGACTCTGCGACCCCATAGATTGCAGCCCGCCAGGCTCCTCTGTCCATGGGATTCTCCAGGAAAGAACACTGGAGTGGGTTGCCGTGCCCTCCTCCAGGGGATCTTCCTGACCCAGGGATTGAACCTGAGTCTCTTATGTCCCCTACCTTGATAGCTGGATTCCTTACCACTAGTGACACCTGGGAAGCCCCACTATATTCCAGAGTTTGCTCAAATTCATATTCACTGAGTCAGCGATGCTATCTAACCATCTCATCCTTTGCCATTAATCTAGACCATTAATACAAGTGAAATGGATTTTTATGAATAGTGCAAAACTGAGATTTAACTACCTATTTTTCCAAACAGTCATCAATTTCCCCACCTCTTTTCCCCTGCTAATTTGCAAAGTGCCCTTTATCATCCACCACATTCCCAGGGCCATGTGGGTTTACTTCTGAACTCTCATTTCTGTTCCACTGCTCTGTTTAATCCTGTAAAGTTACCACGATGTTTCATTACTGGGGCTCCCTAGTATGCTATAATATATTAAAAGGTCACACCTTTTAATATTAACTATACTGACAATTCTACATGAACAATGACCAAAGAGAAACTAGCTTTTAATTGAACTACAAGAGAAAAAGATCACTGTCTCTCAACCTCTATAAAAGTGTTTTTCTTAAAAAAAAAAAAATGTCTTTCTGATTTTCAAAATATGCTACTTTCCCACTCTGTTTGGGGAGTGTCCCTACATTTTTTTTCAAACATGGGAAAACACACACAAAGAATGTTAAATGTAGTCATCAGTTCCCTTGTGGTACCATACTGTTTTAACTTCTGGAGATTTCAGGGTGTTTTGATGGGTGATAGGGCACTCAGCAGAAGGTAGAAGAGGGAGTCTCTTTCTCTTTTCTTTTTTTAATTAATTGATTTATTTTATTTTAAAATTTTGGGGGAGCCATACTACATGGCACACGGAACTTCCGTGACTAGGGATTGAACCCGTGCCCCCTGCTGTGGAAGGGCAAGTCTTAACCACTGGACCAACAGGAAAGCCTAAAGGGATTTTTCCACGCACTCGCTTGGGGCTGTGGACTTGTGACATTTTAAATTATCGTTTTTAATTTTCTGAGATCATAAGGCTCTAAGGTTTAAATTCTTTTCTCCTGCAGTAAGTTACCATGAGGATTTTTAGTGAGGGGCTGGCCGTCCCCCACCCTGGGCAGCACCCTGGCCTCACGTGTTTGCTTGCTCCCTGCAGATGGCCGACGCCATGGAGATGATGATCCTGAGCATCCTCGCGCCGCAGCTGCACTGCGAGTGGCGGCTCCCTAGCTGGCAGGTGGCGTTGCTGACCTCGGTAGGCAGCCCAGCGGTCCTCCCCTCTCGTCATCAGTTCTGGTCCCCCGGGGGGTGTTCTGTAGGATGCCCCCTATTTCCTCCTGCTGCTGCCAAGGGCTCAGCAGACAGGAATTAAGCCCTGAATGGAATCACCAGGACCTAGGCATCCCTTCTCCCTTCTCCATCTCATGTATCCTGGAGTGTCTGCAGCCAACTCTAATCCCACTGGGGGGTTCCAACCACCTGGGGGCCCGAGATATCCTGCTCAATTACGGGGAACTTAGAACCCACCTGATCGGATCACGTAAACCTTATAAACGTCACTGTTCCAAGAGATGCCAATTCCTTCCCACGTGAGGGTGACTTGAGGATTGGAAACAGCATAGTACCTGTTCAGTAAATTGTAGGAACTGGTGCTCCCTGGAGCTAAGGCTTGGAGGAGCAGGAAGCAGAACCCTTCATTCTTGTCTTCTTTTCTTCTTGAACTGGTATTTTCATTCTGTTTCTCCATGTAATTTTATCTTAATGTAAGGTTGTGAAAGTGAAGGTGACTCAGTCGTGTCCAACTCTTTGCGACCCCATGGACTCAGTCCATGGGATTCTGCAGGCCAGAATACTGGAGTGGGTAGCCTTTCCCTTCTCCAGGGGATCTTCCCAACTCAAGCATCAAACCCAGGTCTCCCGCATTGCAGGCGGATTCTTTACCAGCTGAGCCACAAAGGAAGTAATGTAAGGTTTTATTACACTTGAAAGGTTCATCCATCACCCTATTATAATTTTTGTGACATTTTCAATTATCATTTTTAATTTTCTGAGATCATGAGGCTCTAAGGTTTAAGATGTTTCTCCTGCAGTAAGTTAACCATGATAATTTTTAGTAATAAATAACAGATCAAAACAAGATATAATTAATTTTGATAAATAATTGCTAAACATAAGTCACTTTTATCAGGAATGCACCTCTTGATGAGGGGTATGGAGTGTTTCTCAACCGTGTCACGTATTCTTGAATTGTTGTTGTTCAGTCGCTAAGCCGTGTGTGACTCTTTGTGACCCCCATGGACTGCAGCACACCAGTTCCTCTGTCCTCCACTATCTCCTGGAGTTTACTCAAACTCATGTCCATCGAGTCGGTGATGCCATCCAACCATCTCTTCCTCTGTTGTCCCCTTCTCCTCCCACCTTCAACCTTTCCCAGCATCAGGGTCTTTTCCAGTGAGTCAGCTCTTTGCATCAGGTGGCCAAAGTATTGGAGCTTCAGCTTCAGAATCAGTCCTTCCAATGAGTATTCAGGGTTAATTTCCTGTAGGACTGACTGGCTTGATCTCTTTGCTGTTCAAGGGACTCTCAAGAGTCTTCTCCAGTGCCACAATTTGAAAGCCTGATGCCAAAATGACACAGGGCTCAGCTGTAATGCTATTTCTGTTTCTCATTTTTACTGAATCGATATGAATATGAAAGGCTTTGTTCACATATAAAAAGTTTTGCTGAGGGAACTGAAGGAGTTTTATAATAACTCAATAAACTAATGTCACTTAATTCTTTTCAGCAACTTCCAGTTGCATGCTAAAGAGCACACAGCAGTTGTTTATGAAAAATTATTTTTAGTGATCTAATTTGCTGACAGCTTGATTAGCCTCTCCTGCAATTTGGTTAAAAATAATAAAATGGAATTGGAATCAAGATGGCTTGCAAATGGATTTGTAACTGTGTCATTGGTGTCCTTTTGGAGGCAGCCTAGAGGGTTTAACCTCAAAGCAATGGCTATGAGGTACATTGTGGGGGGCAGGGTATGAAGAAGTGGGGGAATGGTGGTTGAGAAGGGGAGCTGGGAACAGGTGAGACCCCCTAACCTGTTCTTGGGAAAGAGTTTCTATGGAAGTTGAGGATGTGGAAATTAATTCCTTTAAAATTATCCAAATTTGCTCTCCCTTGGAACACCTCTGTGTAGCCTGTTTGGAGCCCACTGCTTTAGGACGTGCCTGGAGTAATGCTTTTGGGTTCAGCCCACACTAGGCAATGCTGTTCCTGTCTCTGGGCCTCAATTAGTTGCCTTATCTGTAAAATGGGATGATACTAGCACCCACTTCGTGGGGCTCCTGGGAACATTTGGTAAGACGTATGTAAAAAGTTCCAATACTTTGGCCACCTCTTGTGAAGGGCTGACTCACTGGAAAAGACCTTGATGCTGGGAAAGGGGGCAGGAGGAGAAGGGGACGACAGATGAAGAGATGGTTGGATGGCATCATTGACTCAATGGACATGAGTTTGGGCTAACTCCGGGAGATGGTGAAGGACAGGGGAGCCTGGTGTGCCGCAGTCCATGGGGTCACAAAGAGTCGGCCATGATTGAGCGACTGAACAACAGCAACAGATGTAAAGAACTTTCAGTGTGGTCTCTGACACTTGGTGAGTGCTCCGGAAAGGATAGAACAGTGAAGAAAGCTCTAGTCAGCCTGCTTGGGCTTAAGACCTGTCTTTACCCTCTCCTCCCTGGGATCAGAGCAGGTTTCTAAAATCCTTCTTTTCTTTTTTAAAACTTTTTGGCTGCACCATGTGGCACGTGGATCTTAGTTCCCCAACCAGGAATAGAACCTGCACCTCCTACATTGGAAGTGTGGAGTCTTAACTGCTGGGCCTCCAGGGAAGTCCCCTTAAACCCTGCTAAGCCTCAAGCTACCTATCTATAAAATGGGTATGACTAGTCATACCTCTTCAGCTCTGATCAGGGACTAACAAGGGAACCAGAATTTTCCCCAGCATGCAGTGAGTGCTCCATGGGTGCTTTCTCTTGCTTATGGCTTACAGCTCCCATCCCATCCTCCTGTCTCCTGTTTTCATATCCTCCAAATTTTATTCAGCACCTTGCAGCCTTTAACATTTTCTTAGCCATAAGACATTTCTTGGGTTCTGTAAGAAACTGGAAAAATACTAACTCTGCAGCCAGGCAGCCTGACTCCAGCCTAGGCTGCGCCACTAACACATGTGTGACCCTGGCTGCATGACCTCACCTCTCTGATGCTCTGTTTCCTCATGTGTGAAATGGGCAGCACCCACCCTGTAGGGTTGTTGTGAGACTTAAACAGTAACAGGAAGCACATAGACTAGTGTTTGCATCTTAATGAGATCGCAGACATGCTTGCTTGCTAAGTCACTTCAGTCATGTTCAATTCTTTGCTACCCTATGGACTGTAGCCCAAGCTCCCCTGTCCATGAAATTCTCCAGGCAAGAGCATTGGAATGGGCTGCCATTCCCTTCTCCAGGGGATCTTCCCCACCCAGGGATCAAACCCAGGTCTCCTGCCTTGGCAGGCGGGTTCTCTGACACTAGCGCCACCTGGGAAGCTGTAAACTTGGTTCATTCCTATTACCAAGAGTGTGATGCTGCAGGGTCACTTCAGTGTTCCCTTTCTCTGTGATGCTGCGTGCCACTCTCTCACAGAAGCTGTCTTTGCCCCCACAGGTGGTCTTTGTCGGCATGATGTCCAGCTCTACCCTCTGGGGAAACATCTCAGACCAGTATGGCAGAAAAACAGTAAGGCGACTTCCCCTAAGTTTGTGTTCTCTGGGTTATCTCCTTGACAATGGCAAAACTTGTGCCAACTGAACTTTTTTTTTTTTTTTTTTGGTGGGAGTTTAATTCAGAGCTACATTGAAGGGCAAAGAAAGACATTGCTATGAGGTTGTGGACTCTTGAAAAAAATCACACCTTCCTAGGGGGCCCAAGCATGTGTGTTTCAGAACATAAAAGATGCTGGTGGTGGTGCTGGCCCCATCCCCTTGGTGCATAACCCCTCTGTGCCTCAGTTTTCTCATCTGTAAATGGGAGAGTAATAGTCTTCCCCATAGGGCTCCTATGGGGAGTAAATGACCCTTGTACAGAAAGCCCCTGGTTCAGAGGAAATGTTTCCTCAATTCCCATTACCTGCTGTTCACCAAGCTCATGGTGCCAATAAATATGGCCAGACCAGTGCTAAGATGAAGGTGTATCTGGCTCCAGAGTTCACATCCTTCATCCTGACCTGGGTTGCTGGGAGACATCACTGAATAGGATCCCGGAATTCGGTGGATCAGTTGAACATTCATGTACTCTAAATAGATGAAGCCTGGGGGGGCTACCTGTAGGGGGTGCCTCCAGCTTTTCTGACCAGCTTGCTAAATCCCACACCCAACACAAAGCTGGTGTGACTGGAGAGAGGGAAAGTGCCCCCAGATTGTAGAGCCTTCTCTTCCCCAGCATGGAACTCTGGCCCAATATCAGGAAGGTTGGATGCGGCTCTAATTATAAAGCTTCTCCAGAACTCCTCTAGGACTAGAGGGCAAATCAGACAGCTGGTGAGCCTTGGCAAGCTCGAAGAAGCTCCTCCTAGCTCCTTGATCTGCCTTGGCCCAGCTGAGAGGTTTCTGTGAGAGCCTCTGCTGCGTGACTTTGCAGGAGACTCAGTGGGCCACTTCTTTTTAAGCCGACCTTTTTTTTTTTTGCTGCACCGAGAAGTAGGATCTTAGTTCCCTGGTACGGCATGTGGGATCTTAGTTCTCCAACCAGGGATCGAGCCTGGGCCCCCTGCATTGGAAGCACAGAGTCTTAACCACTGGACCCCCAGGGAATTCCCTCAGTGGGCCACTTTGATCCCTACGGAAGTTTCTACAGCCTGGGGACTTGTGGCAGTCATGGAAAGGAAGGGCGACCGTGGGTGTGTGGCTTCGTGGGTATGGAGACACACCCATCTGAGTTCATATCATAGAGCCCCCTGTCGAGGGAGGTAACGTTGGGCAAGCTGCTCTCCCTCTCTAAGCCTCAGTTTTCCCATCTGCAAAATAGGATTGACAACAGTAGGAACTCACAGGACCACTGGGAGAATTAAATAAGAATATGTATATAATACATTTAGAACAGTATTTACTGATGCATAGTTAACCTGTGATCAGTGGTAACTACTATTGACTGGGACCCAAGAAAAATTTAGAATGGGATCAGGTCATCATCTAGTTCAAAGGCTCTAGGACCATGTTAGCTTTAAGGAATAAAAAGGGGTGGCTGGCAGGCACCAGGCCTCTCATTTCAATGTTCTGAACATGCTCGGGTTTCCTTGCCCTGTGAAAATTTTCACTATACTTGAGCATGATTGGAGAGTACCAGGGGCTTGGGTCAGGCAACCCTGCAGGTGACTGAGCAGTGCTCCTGGCAATGAGATCAGTGTACTTCTCTGGTGCTGGGGTTGCAGGCCTGGCATCCAAATGGCAACTAGACTTTCAGCTTCTTAGAGCAGGAGCTTGAAACTTTTCCAGGCTATGGGTTCCAAATAGGTTGGCCATGAGCCAAAGGTGGCCCCCAGATGTGCTTAATTTGTCCCATGCAGTGCTTAATGGGATTTCTGAATCAGCTGCCTCTGTTTCAAAATGGCCATATTTTGCATAAAAATAAAAAGAGTTGTGGGTTTTGGGGAAGCTAGGTAATCTGGTGGCTTAGGACCCACATTCTGTGATGGTAGCTTTTGGCTGGAGCTGAGGCTGGCAGGGCAGGGCAAGTTCTCTTTCATTTGCCCAGGTCTACCTGTCCTCACTGCATTCCACCTGCATCAGGGCTGTATATTCTCTACTGGGGGTAATGGGGAGCCATCGAAGGTCCTGGAGGAGGGGAGTGTCTCATTCAAAGTACAGCTTTAGAGGTTGGAAGTCTTAGCTCCAGTATTGACTCTGCTGATCCTGGACAAATCACTCATCTCCTTCGGCCCACAATGTGCTGTTTTTAAAGTAGACATGAAAATAACAACCTCTTTCCATAGGGCATGGTGAGGACCCAGCATCACGACGAGGCAGTGATTTCAAAAATGCAAATGAAAGTTCCATGAAGTCAGAGCCTCTGGCTGTCCTGTGGCCTGCTGTCGCACAGGACAAAACCAAGTGTTTAGCAACCAGTAGGCCATCAATATGTGCAGAGTGAAAGAATGAATGCCAAGCCCACAAGAGGTACTCAGTACATACACAGTGAACCAATGAGTGAATGAATGAATGATACATTTCAGTACCTCTAGTGCAGAGCACACAGTCAGTGTTCAATACCTGTGTATTGAATGAATGAATAGTACACTATCAGTATCTCTAAGGGTCTGGCATACTGCAGGCATTCAAATCCTGCTTATTGTGAAGTGGATAATTGAATGAGCAAAGTAATGAATGCATAATGTCTATGCATTCTATCTCCAGAGCCTGGTATACAGAAGTTGCTTAATAAAGAGGGAAGGAAGGAAGGGAATGAAGGAAGGAAAGGGGGGAGGGGTAGCAATCTAAAAGGCAGAACAGATGTTGGGCAGAGCGACAAGTGCAGTTAGTGAGAACCCAGAGGACATTTCTGCAGAGGCCCTGAGCAGTTCTTGGATGGGGCTTGCTGGCAGCGCTCACGCCTTTGCAATGCCGTGACAATCCCTCCAAGTGGCTGCTGAGTCCTCGTTCTCTGGGCAGCTGGAAAGCGTTGGCATCAGCGGGCAAATGCAGGGCCAGCTGCACTCTGCTGTGACCTGACAGGACCGGTCGGCCTGCATGTCTTTGCTGCCTGGCAGGAGGGCATCTGGTGACCTCACCAAGGCGGCACGGCTGCCAGGCAGCCCCTCGAGGGAGGCGTAGCTCCCATGTGTCAGTCTGGGCGCCCTCCTGTCTCCCCACTCTCCTCCTGCTTTGCTTTCCTTCTGTTCTTTTATTTTCTCTGCCGGTGAAAGTCAACTCTTTTCGACCCCATGGATATACAGTCCATGGAATTCTCCAGGCCAGAATACTGGAGTGGGTAGCCTTTCCCTTCTCCAGGGGATCTTCCTGACGCAGGAATTGAACCAGGGTTTCCTGCATTGTAGGTGGATTCTTTACCAGCTGAGCTATAAGGGAAACCCATAATTTGGGTTCTCTGCCACTAATGATGTCTTATTTCTGATTCAAGACTTCTCAGGTTCCAAGGAAGAAGGTCCCTAGTGAGGGGAGATATGTTTACCTTTAGCTGACTCATGTTGATATTTGGCAGAAACCAAAAAAAAATTCTGTAAAGCAATTATCCTTCAATTAAAGAATATATTAAAAAAAACCAAAACAGTCCCTAGTAAGTTAGGTCAAGTTAGAAGAAAGGAACTAAGTCTATGGCAGGTACCAGTATCCATCTTCTTCTTGTTTAGTTGCATAGCCCTGGGTTTAGAAAGGGGAGTAGAAAGGTTTCTTTTTTATTTATTATTATTTATTGCAATTGATCCAGATCTTCCTAGACTTTAATCATTCCTGCCCCACCTATTCTCTTATGTACTTAATATCTTTCTTTATATCAACATTAAAAAATCCTTAAATGCATGTTTTTTGAAAACAAAACTTGATTTAGAGTCTTAAATGGGAAATCAATAGCAATTGCCCTAAGTAAGAAATACCTGCAAAAATAAATACAAGGAAAACAATGTTATAAAATTTTAGCTGGTATGGTTGCCTCATTGCTCTCTCTGTTAAAGAATAAGATTAGCAGATGTTTAAAAAGATGTTAAAGATGGTTACCGGGGGGAAGGGATACTTAGAGAGTTTGGGATGGACGTGCACACACTGCTATATTTAAAATGGATAACCAACAAAGTCCTACTGTATAGCACAAGGAACTCTGCTCAATGTTATGTGGCAGAAGGGATGGGAGGGGAGTTTAGGGGAGAATGGATACATGTATATGTGTGGCTGAGTCCCTTTGCTGTCCACCTGAAATTATTACAACATTGTAAATCAGCTATACTCCAATATAAAATAAAATTTTTTTTAAAAAGGTGTTAAGAGAGACCAGCATCCCATGGATACTTCCTTTTAAGCATAATCAGAAGAGTGAAGATTAAAATGAAAAGTTAATCACATTCTTGCAAAGTGGTGCAAAGTCATTTAAAACATTCTCTCTACCACCTAAAATCATTTTCCCAAAGACTGAGGTCATGTGTGGTAGACTTCCAAATTCCCTCTCTAGTCTCTTTTAATTCATTTTCATTTTAAAGCTAAAATTAGAATGTCTCACACTTTCTCCCTGAAGCAAGGGTTGAGGGGTGGGGGGGTGCAGAGAGGGCGGCAGGCAGAAGGGTGAACTCAATCCTGCAGATCTAGGAAGGGTGCTGTGAAGGGCAGGCTGCCCAGACCTCATGTGGCAGGTCTAATATTCACGTTACATTTGCATTTTACTCCAGAACACTTTTGGTGTTGGTTGTATTATAAAAAATGCTAATTTCAATTACATTCACCTTTAATTTTTTTCTCCATCTCTAAGTGTAATTAACACTCCAGGAATATATGCCAGGTCTCTCCTGCAGTTTTGTGTTCCTCGGTGATTCTCAACCCCATCAAATGCAACATCTTTTTTTTCCCCGACCGTGCCATATGGCTTATAGGATCTTAGCTTCGAGATCAGGGGTCGAAAACCCAGCCCACAGCAGAGAAAGTGTCAGGTCCTAACTGCTGAGCCATCAGGGAATTCCCTACAATGTCCCCTTTACATTAAAAAAAAATTATAAAATTTTTAGTAGTGCCCCCAATAATCCAGAAATAATTTCAAAGATAAAATAGCCTAGTCGTTTATACAGTTTTTTCAGTTTAATTAAATTGTTCTGGCTGTGCTGGGTCCTTGTTGCTGCCCGGGCTTTTCTCTAGTTGCAGCAAGCAGGGGCTGCTCTCTAGTTGCAGTGCGCAGGCTTTTTGTTGCAGTGGCTTCGCTTGTTGCAGAGCACGGGCTTTAGAGTGTTCGGGCTTCAGTAGTTGCGGCTGTGGGCTCAGTAATTGCAGCTCCCAGGCTCTAGAGCACAGGCGCGATAGTTGTGGTGCCCGGAATTAATTGCTCCATGGCATGTGGGATCTTCCTGGATCAGGCGTCAAACCTGTGCCTCCTGCATTGGCAGGCGGATTCCTCACCATTGAGCCACCAGGGAATTCCCACTTACGCAGCTTTTAAAAAGAAGTCTGTTAAAATATCTTAACTAGGCCACAAGGGAGAACATTTTTTAAAGAAGTAATTAATAAATTTCCTTTCAATATGGAAATATTCACATACTACTCTGCCTAGATCCTGAAAGTTCATATTCGCCCCAATTATAAATAAGTTTGGATTTAATGAAATCTTGCTGCTTTTTCTTTATATATCTGACATTTCAAAATAAGATTCAGATCAGTCTATTCATAGATATACATAGAAGTCCCATGAATGCAGACGGATGCTGTATTCACACTCAGCCACTCAAATATCACACATAGCATTTCCACTGGCAACATGGTTTTCTGAAAAGATAATTCTGTAAAATTCCAGATAAAACAAAGTGTATCTTACTTTGATTTATCTAGAAGTTGCTTTCTGAAAAACTACCCTCAGGAATTTTTTTGGAAGGTGTGACCCACCTTCCAAAATCCTGTTTATATGTAAACCAGAATGAAAGTCTAGGTGCAGAGAGTCATAAACAGTTATCAACTGCATGGTTTAATATCTGGTGGGAAGTTCGATTCAAGCTTGTATGAGGTAAGTCTTCATGTCTCATGTGCTGTGGGACATCTAGCATCTCTAGGACCTGTCTATTATTTTAAAAACAATTTTTTGGCCGCACTACACAGCAGGTGAGATCTTAGTTCTCCGACCAGGAGTTGAACCCCATACCTCCTGAAGTGGATGTACAGAGTCTTAACCACCGGACCACCAGGAAAGTCCCTAGAACCTGTCTATTAACTGCCAATCACTGGGACTGCTGAGAACACCCCACACTCCCCCTCAGAGTTGGCACCACCACCCAGAGAACACCTAGCATCCCTTGGCTGTGTGGATTACCCTTTATCACGACCTACGGTGACCTTGAACACCTTGAACAGGGGCGTGTGACCTGGAGACACTGAGAAGCCCTGTGACTGGGTGTCTTCCTTCTTCGCAGGGACTGAAGATCAGCGTGCTCTGGACCCTGTACTATGGCATCCTCAGCGCGTTTGCACCCGTGTACAGCTGGATCCTGGTGCTCCGGGGCCTGGTGGGCTTCGGGATCGGAGGGGTCCCCCAGTCGTAAGTAAAGACCCAGCTCTGGCCACCCAGCCAGACAGCCAGGAGGCTATGTTCATGGGCTCGGAGGGAGGCAAAGATGGTACATACACTAGGGCTCCTGCTACCCGGGGACTCTGATGGAGCCAGAGAAGAGTGTCATTGTCAGTATTGTAATGATTAACAACAGCGAAAGCAACACGATAGCTGGAAGATGTGGAATAATAATCAAAACAATAGATCTGGCATTGACCGGACATTTCTCTTGGACATGGTGCAGCAGCCCCAGGAGATGTGCAGGGGTATTGAATTAGTGCAATTCCCATTTTACAGCTGAGAAAACAGACTCAGCGGGGGAAATCATTTGCCCAAGTCACACAGGGTGCAGGTGGAACTAAGAGCCGGAATCTATCCGCCTGTAACACCCATGCTCTGAACTACCCTACCTGCTCCCTTTTACCTGTTTCTAACCTGACCACAAGGCAGGAAGTCAAAGTGAAGGTGAAAGTCGCTCAGTCGTGTCCGACTCTTTGTGACCCCATGGACTATACAGTCCATGGAATTCTCCAGGCCAGAGTACTGGAGTGGGTAGCCTTTCCCTTCTCCAGGAGATCTTCCCAATGCAGGGATTGAACCCATGTCTCCCATATTGCAGGCAGATTCTTTACTGGCTGAGCTACAATGGAAGCCCAAGAATACTGGAGTGGGTAGCCTATCCATTCTCCAGCGGATCCTCCCGACGCAGGAATTGAACCAGGGTCTCCTTCAGTGCAGGCAGATTCTTTACCAACCGAACTATCAGGGAACGGGGTGGGGCTAATTATTTTGTAAGTTATGTGTTATTTTGTTGTTGCAGTTATTAAGATACTGAGAGTAGACAGGATTGTAGGAAGCAGTTACTGTTTCCTGGGAAACTGGGGAATGCAGAGATTGGCAGCTTGTGGCAGCTGGACTGAATCTGAACTGCCAACTGGATCTCTAAATAAAGTTTTATTGGAACACAGCCACACCATGCACTGACATATTATCTACGCCTGTTTTGGTGCTTCACCAACAGAGTTGAGTAATCTCAGTGGAAACTCTGTGGCCTGCAAACCTGAAGTATTTACTGTCCAGACCTCTGTCAAAAAAGTGTTGACCCCACTCTAAAGGATGGTGATTAATAGCCAATATTTAAAGGGGCAAGTGCTGTTCTAAGCAGTTTGCCCAGACTGTCTCATTTAATCTCCCCAATTCCCCTCTGAGGTGGATTCTATTATTAATCCTATTTTACATATAAAGAAACTAAGGTTACAGAGAGGTGAGGCAACTTGCCCCATGACACAGTTACAAGAGGTAGGGTTGCAGTCGGAACCCACACCCTCTAACTCCAGAGCCTGGGCTCAACCATTGCTTCCCACTGCCTTGCTATGAACAGTTAAAAGGATTTAGAGAGACCCAAGGAGTTGGGGAATATGTAGGATATCTCATAAGAAGGGGATTTCATGAAAAGAGGAAGCCATAGCTGAGTCTGAGGAAGGCTAATGGTCCAATTCAGTTAGCTTGTTAGGCTGAGAAGCGTGAGAGTCGAAAACTGAGATGGGCCTTGGAGACCAGACGGCTGCTGTTTAGTCACTAAGTCGTGTCCGATGCTTTGCGACCCTGTGGACTGTAGCCCACCGGGCTCCTCTGTCCATGCGATTTCCCAGGCAAGAATATTGGAGGTGGCTTCCCATTTCCTACTCCAGGGATTCTTCCCGACCCAGGGATCGACCCGCACCTCCAGATTGGTAGGCAGATTCTTTACCACTGAGCCATTTAGGAAGCCCTGATAGACTAGGGCAAGCTTATATAAGGTCTTGAATGTCAGGTCAAAGGGATTGTTTGCAGACGAATGGGAAGCCACTGAAAGTGTTTGAGCAGAAGTACTTTAAAAGAATTAATCTGGCAGCAATGGGTTGAATAGTTTGGAAGTAAGGAATCCTGTTGCAGTAATTTAGGAAAATTTTGCACAGAGACCAGAAAGTTTCTTTTTAGTTTTATTCATTCATTCAACCAAATTTTTTCCCCCTGCATCACGTAACTTGTGGGATCTTAGTTCCCCTCCCAGGGATCAAACCCAAGTTCACAGCAGTGAAAGCCCAAGTGTTAACCACTGGATCACCAAGGAATCCCCTCAACCGGTATTTTCTTGAGCTCCTGTTATGACACAGGCCAGTGCTAGGTACTGGGGGTACAGCAGTGAGCCAAACAGACATGGTCCCTGTTTCAGGCTGGCAACCTGGGAAACAGAAATCAAGATATGTGTACAAGGGGCAACCAAGATCAACACCTGTAAAGGAGTCAGAAAAACAGGGCTGGGCAGAGGGAGACGCTAAGTTGCAATGTGATTGTAACAGCTGATGGGGGCCTCAGTTCATCCTTAGGGTTCAGAAGCTGGGATGGCCCTTTAGATTGTTCCGTACTGAGGATGGGGGCTGGACCTTTGTCTGTTCACATCAGCCACCTTGGATGTGGGCTGCCCTCAAGAAGGGAGCATGACCTTGGGGGAAGTTAGCTACTTTGGGCCAAGGCAGCTCCTCTAAGGGGCTCAACTCTGAGCTCTTAGCAGGAAACATTCCTGGTCGTTCCAGAGGGACCGTGTACCTCAGCCCTGAAGGGGGAATCCAGGTGGTACATCCGTTACAGCCCCTCCCCTGGACCCTTCCCATGTGCTTGCATGCATGTGTGCTAGGTCGCTTCAGTCGTGCCTCTTTGCGACCCCATGGACTGCAGCCCGCCAGGCTCCTCTGTCCATGGGCTTCTCCAGGCAAGAATACTGGAGTGGGTTGCCATGCCCTTCTCCAGGGGATCTTCCCAACTCAGGGGCTGAACCTGCTGCTCTTACATCTGCTGTATTGACAGGTGGGTTCTTTACCACTAGCACCACCTGAGAAGCCCTTTCTCCTTAGAAGCTCTCAGTTCAGCTCAGCCCTTCCCTGGGTTCCTCATCATCGACCCTCCAAGGCTGGGCAGAGTAGGTATTTGACATGGTCTCCTGGATCAGGGATGAGCTTAAGAAACACTGGAGCTTAAAGCAGAGGCCATTACGCCAAGCCTATTAACCTGGGCTGGCAGGGGCTCGTGGCCAATCTATTCCACTTCTGGCCCAACTCCAGGAATTCCTGCTGTTGCAGCCACTGCCCTGTTTGTGAGCCATTCATTGACTTTGGGACCATTTTCCCCTTGTGGCTGGAAGGGATGAGCTCACAGAGAAACACGTGAAATTCCTCTCCCAGAGATGCTTGGGGAGATGGCAGCAGATCCAGCCTCCCAACATCCTCGCCACGGGTGTTCTGTCCATAGGAGGGTAGGGAAAGGAACCGGGGCTTATGAACGTCCCCAGTGATTCTTGTTGAAGATGGTGCCATGAGAAGTGTTCTTCCACATTCTTCCATGGAAGAAGTGTGTCATCTGCCACATTTTCTGGAAGTAATACAAATGGTATAAGAAATAAATCTCGAATGATGCTGGAAAGCAGGAGAAAGGTGCTATCAGTGAAACAGAAATTCTCAGGAATCTGTGGAAGGTTGTAAGTTGATGAGATTCCAATGGCTGAGTCACTGGAGGAGAGAAAAAAACCACCTCCGGAAACTGCAAAGGGAAGAGATCTTCAGCCGGGGAGGACAGGACACCAAGGGAATAAACTTAAGGACACAGAGTGGCTGGGAGGGCCTTTACCCCCTTACCGGATATCTTGACGGCTCTAAGTTTGCCTGTCTGCTCCCTTCCCCCTCCCCACAAATGTCATGCTGCCCCATTTAGCTATTCATTTATTTAATGCTGCAGTAGCACTCCTGTCTGTTTATTGAGCTATTACTACATTCCAGACACATGACCATTCTAAACTCGCAAAACCTTAAGACGTAGATATGATGACCTCCCTTCTCCAGGTAAGGAAACTGAGGCTTTATAGCAGTAGCATGTGAAAGATCACATGGTTAGCAAAAGGAGGGCAAATAAAAACCACACACAAAATTACAGAAGAGTGACTTCCCTGGAGGTCCAGGGTTTAAGACTCTGCACTTCCACTGCAGGGGACACTGGTTCGATCCCTGGCTGGGGAGCTAAGATCCTGCATTACGTGTGGCGAGGTAAAGAAAAAAGTTACAGAAGAAATATTTTAGCCATCCAGGAGACTCGCTTGGTTCCTGAGCACTTTTATGCTAGCTATTTACATAAAATAATCACGCCTTAATTATGCAAAGCTCTTATCTAGTTATAAAAATGGCTCTCCTAAGTTCATTATTTGGAAACATTTAGTTGAAAATATTTTTGTGTAATTAAATATAACTAAGAGTTTCCATTCCTTTAAAAGGACTTTACCCAGTTGTACCACTTCACAAAATCAAGTGAAGAGGATTTTGCTATATTATTTTTAAAAGTTCAACAATCAGAAATCCTTATAATATACTCTGTATTTAGTATAAATGCAAATTATATATATATATTTTTTTTTTTTAGAGAGGAAGTAACCATGAAGTTTATTTTTTTATCATTTGATCTTTTATTTTATTTTTTTTCCCCCAATTGTTTTTATTAGTTGGAGGCTAATTACTTTACAATATTGTAGTGGTTTTTGCCATACATTGACATAAATCAGCCATGGATTTACATGTGTTCCCCATCCTGAACGCCCCTCCCACATCCCTCCCCATCCCATCCCTCTGGGTCATCCCAGTGTACCAGCCCCAAGCACTTGTCTCATGCATCCAACCTGGACTGGCGATCTGTTTCACACTTGATAATATACATGTTTCGATGCTGTTCTCTCAGATCATCCCACCCTCGCCTTCTCCCATAGAGTCCAAAAGCCTGTTCTATACATCTGTGTCTCTTTTTCTGTCTTGCATATAGGGTTATCATTACCATCTTTCTAAATTCCATATATATGCTTTAGTATACTGTATTGGTGTTTATCTTTCTGGCTTACTTCACTCTGTATAATGGGTTCCAGTTTTATCCATCTCATTAGAACTGATTCAAATATATTCTTTTTAATGGCT